ATTAGAATTTTTTACGTTTAATAATTATGATCCATTGTATTAGACAATTATGCTGATATATAGGAGGGTTATTAGTAGGAGTTTGATATTAACAAGAGGACGAAGACTGCGCCCTACGACTTTTCGACCCAAATTTTCAACGTTAGATTTTGGATATTAATAGTAGTTGCAATACCCACAAAAGGAAATTTTACTCCCGCCATTTTTATATATACTATCTATGTACCGTACTTTACTGTATGTATGCATGCTAGGAAAAATAAAAAAAAAAAAAAAAAAAAAAAACAAATCGTTTGAAAACTTAAATTCTAGTAAAGAAAGTATCCTTTTGGCACTTATATGCCCACTCCGTTCTATAGCCATGCTTCTACTTTTCTAGTTTTTTTTAAAATTTTACATCTTTTTCTTTCGAATTTTTTGCCGGTATGATGAATTGATAATCACTAATCGTCAAAGAACATAGCGAAATGCAAAAGAACTACAACGAAATAATAATGAACTCAGCCCCTCAGCCCTGACCAACCGAAATTTACGTGATTTGGCTTCGTCACATTCTGAAAATGTGCACTATATTCATTTACCAATAGCGATTTAGATCCTATATTGGATGTGTAATGTTACACAACCAGAATTGGTTATGTGCTATTGTGTAACAATTACATCTTTTGTATGCAATTAGTTAGTAATATGTAGTAATTAGTGCATGCGCATAAGGAATGTAGTAATTAAATAGTATCAGTGTAGTAATCGTTGGAACAATGGTCGTAAGGGAAGGAGGTATAAAAAGGAAAAGGTAGTTAGTCGATTAGTTCTTTAGGTAGATTTGTTAGTTAATAGTCTTTTTGTTCATTAGTTAGTTCTTTGGTTAGTTGGATTAGTAGCTAGTACTCTGGGAGTACCTGTGGATTTGTGAATAGATAACGAAGGTTCATTTGTCTGTTGGATATTTTTAGTGCCTCATATAAATAAATAAACACTTTGTTTCTTTCCTTTAATGCTTGCAGTCCTCTGCTAAATTGGCTACGTTGTTCTAAAGTCTCTCCCTTGACTGTAACAGTAACATCCAGTAACTGCTTTATTTGGCAGTTGATAAGATTAATCTGTACTGTAATCCTACGACTCTACGGAACATAGTATGATCGTTTCACATGACAAAATAAAGCTTTAAATCTAATTCACCAGCTTTGGCCCCGAAGGGGCCTAAATTGATGCATTAAATTCAAGACGAAACATCTAATGACGGAAAGAAGTGCTTAAAATCTAATACATCAGCTTTAGCCCCGGAAGGGCCCAAATTGGTGCATCAAATTCAAGACGGAACATCTAACATCGAAAAGGAAATGCTTTGATCTAATGCACCAGCTTTAACACCGGAAGGGCCCAAATTGGTGCATCAAATTCAAAACGAACATCTAACAACGAAAAGGAAATGCTTTAAATCTAATGCCCCAGCTTTAGCCACAGAGGGGCCCAAATTGGTGCACCCAATTCAAGACAGAACATCTAACGATGAAAAGGAAATAATTACATCTAATTCACCAGTTTTAGCCCGGAGGGGCCCAAATTGGTGCATTAAATTCAGGGCGGAACATCTAATAGTGGAAAAAGCTTAAGAAAAATCTTTTTGAAATAAAAGTAAAACAAACCGAGTATATTGA